AACTTAGGTTATGCAGTTTTAGGCTTTAGACACATGCCACCTTTAGTCAAACTATGTTATGATCATAATGTCACATAGATTTAAATTCTCATGTTGTATTGATATGTGCTGTTAGGAATTTTCAGTGTTTTAATAAAAATGGTTTATGCATTACACATTTCATGAATAATCGATCAAATCATTCTGTTTATAAAGATTAGATTTCTTTATTGACTGAGTGCACAATGCCAGGCTGCATCTTTCTCCTCTCTTGAACGTCGGGCATACAGAGTAATTGTTGGTCAGACTGTTGATCAAACTTTGCATTACAATGCTCACAACTTTATATGTCGGACTAAACATTTTTTGTTGAAAATACAAGAGAGAAAAATATGATAAAGCAGCTTGTTTTTTGCGATGAATCCTGTAATTAATTTTATGACATTGGCCCACGTCATGGTTTGGTAAGGCAAAACCTGTAGGCCTATATTTAATTACAAAGAGAATATTATGCGCAGTTAACAGACCATGTATGAATATCTCAGCTGACTGATTCTCTTAGTATTCCCAAATGTTCCCTATCGTATAGATTGCTAGACTTTTGCACAACTTCGGATGCCGTTATCTTTTATCAAGCGTAAGATTGGAATAAATGACAAATCTAATGTTACGAGCAGTGTTAGCTGATGCATGAGCCCGAGAAGGTGATGGAGATGGATTATTACTGATGAATGACAGGTTGTCTACATCCAGAGAACATTCTGTTATCCTGTCATTAAGCTTAAGTTTATCACGAGTCATCCGAATCTGTCTTCCACGCACTATTCAATCTGCTTTGAAACTTTTCAGAATGATGTGAGGTTTTGAAAAATTAGTAATTTGACAGGAGCAAAAGATATGTTGATCTTGGATTGTAAGCAATATGAAAGGTGTTACTATACATTTTCATTATCAACAGCACAGAATTAATTGAGAACGTGTACGAGAGCTGTGTATTGTTTTTTCTTACGGCTCTCAGACTGACGAGAGTTGCATAGAGATTATTGATTTTGTTTCCTTATAAACAGAAGTACAACCGCCTCCTTGGTTGATATGCCCTACAACCATTGCGACATATATTAAAAGCCCATAGATTTTTTTTTTATTTAGGAATGTCTAGACAGTGGGACAGGCCATTGACTCTAACAAAAGGACATGCTAATAATAAAGTAGAATATCGCTGAAAGAATCTTTAATTAGCCATATTGGATAGTGATCTAGTGAACACGGCCTAAAAGGCAAACCTACATATGCATAGTTAGTTTACTCAGCAGTTGTATAAGGAGCTCGCTCAACTACGTGGTTGCTGATACTTTGTCGAACTGTACTGTATATATAGAACGCGTCGCCGTATCACTAACCATAGTACGGTAGGGTGAAGATATTCACAATACTCTCTCCTCATTTTTCTTGCCGAGTACGCAGTACAGTAGTCTTCTCATTCCGGGTCTACTCGCAGAGTTCATCTACCTCATCTGAGTTTAGATTTACTAAATGTTATTATTTGTTACTACGCATTAGCATTGTCTAAAGGAAAATATCACAGTTAATTAACTGTGTTATTAATAAAATGTATTTAAAAATAAACTTAAAAATATGGCACAATTGTCAAATTGTCGTTGATTGTAACGTTCTTGACAATTAGTCACATTTTAAAGATGTCTGGGGTTAACGAACTATATCTCTGTTTTATTAACATGTTTTTATATTTTCCTTGGTCAAAACTAATGCATATAGTGTGCCACCCAACTAAGATGTTTCACTGATACAAACGAATGTAGGCCTATGGCTGCATTGTATAGGCTACATCTGATGTTCATATTTGCCTGAACTTTCGGTGGGTTAACATTCATTTTTATTGTTAAAAAAATCTGAGAATTTTTGTACAAACACCCATCGTTTTTGTATGTATGAATAATCAGCTTATCAATGGCAATATTAATTTCAGGATCCACGTTATTAGCGCTATTTAACAACCAAAACAAGTAGCTATAACTCTTCACAGTGATATTAGAGAATCTTAATATTGTCTTTGAAATGCAAGCCGCATTCTATTTGTATCCTCTAGGGGATTTTGAGATTTGAAGTGAAACGTCGTCTAAAATCTATATTTTGATAGTACCACAATGTCTACACTTAAACTAAGTAATCACGTGCCATATTTGTTTATGTTACACATGATAGTCTATTGACATACTTTTTGTTGCTACCTTTGACTATTACCACCGGTACTATTAACTTTGTTAACTAATGTTGTATATAGTATTGTTTTTAGATAGTCTTCTTGTCAATTAATGTTGTATATAGTATTTTATTTGTGCAGGACCATATTGTACAAGAGTTACCATCCCGTATTTATATGTTATCCTTCCTAATTATGTTTAATAAATTAAAAAAATGCTATAACCACTACAACAACATTCCTAAGTACGACCTCAGGGGATGTCCATTTTGTTGAAATACCAATGATATGTTTCGATGGTAAATATATATCTGATAGCCCGCACTATCAAATTTTATTTGACAAAAGTATGTGACATGTCTATGGTCAATCACATCATGACCATATATAGGCAAATAATGACTATATATGGGCAAACAACAGTTTTTTTTGTCAAATTAAATTGGATAGTTTGGACAGGGCTTTTGAAAGAAGACTCGGGCTACGTTCAGACTTGGAGATAAGCCAGGCTTGAGTTAAGCCCGGCTCAACGTTAAGCCCGGCTTAACTTTTCCTGGCGTTCAGACTAGCGGGATTAGCCAGGCGCGAGAATTAGCATAATGAACCGCAACCAGGAAACGAGTTTGGAAACATTGGGCTCGAAACGTACGCTCGCTCACAGCATATGTAATTGAATGCTGATTGGTCATTTTTTACCGGAAGTCAATGCAAGATCCCCCGCAGCGATTAAAGCCCGGCTTAGAAAAGTTAAACACGGTGGCACGCCAGACCTAGTTACTATAGGAACACAGCCCGGCTTGAGGTAAGCCACCTACTGTAGTTCAGACTGGCAGGTGGATAAACCCGGAGAGTTGAGCCGGATTTATCCACCTAGTCTGAACTAGGCCTCTGAAAGCTTGACAAGATGACGTGTTCTATTCCACATAATGGCGTCAAAGAATCCAAAATATGAATCTGACTATGACTGATAATGACTTCTAGATACAACGTTTAAAATATAAAACATGCAGAAAAAACTTTCAAATAGGTTATTTGCCTTAAAAATAGTTGTTTTGCCTTAAACAACAAGGACAGGAGAAAAAACTTACAATGTGTGAAAATGAGATGCATTGTATAAGAAACATAATTTTCAAGGACATTATTACAAAAATATACGAAAATGAATACGTAGTATTTGCAATTAAAACAGACAAATATCATTTTACGTGCTCACAAGTATTAAATCAAGTTTCTACAAAACACGTAACAAATCACATATTAGTGACATTTGCATAAAATCTAACAGGAGTTCAGATAACATTTTCCTGTCTCACGTATTAATGACTCGTCTCAACTATGTAAATGATGAAGATATGGAAATATACAATTTGTTAATTTAAGCCTTCTTGCCACATTTTATAGAGTTTATCTAAATCTGTAATGTTGACAATCTGCACGTGAGCAAATTACAAGTTTGAATTTAAAATTCAAATTGCGTTACGTTGTTATTGAATTTGTACGTTAACAATACTATTTTAAATGACGAAGATATGGAAATATATACAATTTGTTAATTTAAGCCTTCTTGCCACAATTTATAGAGTTTATCTAAAACTGTAATGTTGACAATATGCACGTGAGCAAATTACAAGTTTGAATTTAAAATTCAAATTGCGTTACGTTGTTTTTGAAATTGAAATATGTTTGCTCTCACTGTACTTCCGTTACCTAAACCTGAACACATTTCATAACGTTATTATTTTTTTCGTACAATCTCTCCATATCCACATCGTCGAAACACTCTTGTTAAATCTCATTATCCAAATAGTTAAGTTCAAAGGTGTATAGTCTTTTCATTTTATTGTATTATGGGATTGTGTGCTTTTTGTTGTATGAATTGTGGTGTATGTGTGTGTGATGAAGTTATGCTGAAGAAGCTATATCATCATTGGAAAATTGATTTGAATTGAAAAAAAGAAAGAAATATCTCATTATCTTTATCATGTTTTTAAGTCCATTAAAAAATAGTTTGCTGGTAACTGTGATTTGAGTATTTTAAATTAATTTTATTATTCAATCAATAGTTGATTCCGGTGTCCTGAAAACATGTACACATACATACTTGTCACAATCACTCAATATATTAATCATTTTAAGTTTTCAAGAGAAAATGTAGGTTTTACTTCAATTTGTAATTATCATCAATGTACATTAGTAAAACTTGCAGCCGTCGTCTTGGCAATCTGCCTAAATGGAATTTGCTTTCATAGAATCGTCTAGTATATTTTTCTATTTTGTATGTAAGGAAACGTTCTAATTTAAATAAAAAAATACAGAATGTTACTCTCGGCAACGTTTTGCGTCAAATTTTCCCAATCAGGTATCTGTTGCCAAACGTCGCCAATAGTAAAACATATCAGGACCCATTTAGACAATAACGTTATAATCAATATAAAACTTTTCAATGGTGCTTTGTTTCATCTTGAGTAAATGGGAAATTATAATCAAATTTGTCTACAGTGCTATCCGTTATCTAAATTACCTGTATTTTTACAACTGTTATAATTCCTATATTATTTCTTCCCCCCACCCCCCTCGTACTTATTTTGATTAGATCTTCAATGCAATCTTCCTCCAATCACTTGTGAAATTGCGAGGTGTTCTAACTTAGATGTTTTGGCAAAAACAGCGTAAGAGCTAAAGATTTCTACATATGCATTTACTGATTTCCCTCGCTACCTGAGTAGTACGCTATACTCATATTTTATGTTCACTGCCAATAAATAAACTCATTTCCTCAAAAATTTGTTTGCATTGACAGGTTTGGGCACTTGACTTAACTGGCAAGAAAGAAGAACATATCGGCTTCGGTAAGGTATAAACATTTTCATTAGATATTTTCTTGACATCATTATTGTAAGGGTTTTGTAGTATTATTATAATAGTTAAAAGTCCTATAAGTACTACCGTACATTCTGTGACTATGCTGGTCTGTATCGAGGGAAACAGTTTTCAATCATATTGGTATAGTTATATATATATATATATATGTACCTCCTAATTAACTCATAGGGTGAAAAAGCCTTTGTATATATTTCTCCTTAACGTCGTTAAAATTTCCCCTTAGCGGCAGTATTTTCGCCTTAAAGTATTATTTCTAACCCTCTCCATTGTTAAGGTTTCCCCCTATGGTAGTATATAGTCGTATTAAGAAACTCAATGGCAAGTCATATGGTGTCGTGATGTATTTTTTCAGGAAAGGACTCGTTTCAGTGATCATAAAATCTGTCCCAGTAATAAGAACACTATAAACCATTTTTAATCTAAGTGTTGATTTATTTGATGTGAGAGCCTGTCACTTGTGTCTTTTACATACTAAAATCATGCGAACTCAGACCATCTACAGTAACCTATTATACTTACTGATCGTAACATTATTGTCATTGCATATCAGATTTATGTCAATAAAATCCTAAATCCAACAATCCACTCTTGTTGAAAACCATTATTAAGCGATGTTCATTTTAATATACAGCATTTAAAGACATGGAAAGTAACAGTATGCACTTACCGTGTGTAGACCCTAAAACCGATTTAATAAGCCTTTTAAACCCTTACATTTTCATATTTTTCGGGGTTTCACCCTCAGGAACAATGTCTGGAAATTTTGATTGACGCCCGACGACGCCCACTTTTTTCGCCGGGGACATCATCCCCACCCCCGTCGGGGACCTTGGACCCCCCGTCGGGAAAATCTTGGCGCCACCTCTTATACAGGGATGTAATTGAATCTACTGTGTAGTGATAGTGATCATTTCAACGAACAAAATTGTAATAACATTGACGGCGAGATCGGCCTCCGACGGGCTTATCTAGTAAAATGCAATTTATAATTTAACCATTTTTTTTAGATTATAGGCCTACGGGTAAATAGAAAGTTCATGATTGGAATATAATTATGTTTAAGTGATGTGCATAAGCTATAATACATTTTTTTGATAGTGCTATTTCGATTACACGTCCGACCCCGATAGGGATTGTTATAATCTTGGTCAGATTCCTTTCATGTTACGTTTTATGAATTGTATTGTATTATCCGACGTGTTCATTGTCGCTTTCAATGGGACTAATGAAATTCAAAACGAAGCCCTATAGCATATGATAGAGTATACGTAAGTAATAAGCAGAATATGATTCTATGTGATTCTTTCTTTCTTTCTTTTATTGTTTATCCTGGGGGACTGCTCAGGGATAAAATCCCTGGTCCTTGAAACACAAAAAGCTGTACTACTCCCTATTTTTTCCTCTTTTTCTTTCTTTTTTTTCAGGAAAAAAATCTCAATAAACATTATTCTTTAAAAGTAAGCTAGATCTGCCTCTAGGCTAGGAGCCTCTTGACACCAAATTTAAAGATGCCAGTGTTAGTTTCACATTTTAGTGAAACACCGGGAGAATTCCACGACTTCACCGAATCCCGAATTCTAGCGGGAGTGACGAATTTTCTATGGCTGCAACCGTTTCTATAATGGTGATGCTGTGTCAGTTCACGCAACAATCTTGTTACTGTTGCCTTTCGGGTGCCGTTCATTCCCGTTTTAACTTAGCTCTGAACTCAGCTCATATATTAGGACGAGAAAAATGAGCTTGCATGTGGGGAAGAGGATGAATCCAGTGGATCCGGAACAAATGCCTTAATAAAAATTGCCATGACTTGTTATAAGACTTCTAATGCAGGTCTAACAAACAAATCTGAGTAACGGGATTTAGTACAGTGTAGAATTAGAAGGTACCTAAGGGACGCACGCACCCACTATTTTTGTAAAAATATGTAAAACCTATTAAAAGAATAACATGCTAAATGGTAAAATCATATCAAATACAACTTTAAATAAACGAAGATGGGCATACTAAGCTTCAAGGGGATTCCCCACCCCTTTATAACCCCACCAGGGGCTCTGCCACAACTGTTGTTCCGAAGACACATTTAGGCCCCTCCTCCCTTTGTTAACAGGCTGGATCCGACCCTGAAGTAGGAGAATGAAACCGATCTCTTGATACCGGAAGGCCAGTATGATACTTCAAACTGCTGGCTGAGTCATGCGTTACCTGATTTTGTCACTGAATTTTTCTAGGCCTACCATTCGACGTTTCACTTACAACTTGTTTCCTCCTTGTTGACCTGTAGTATTACAGAGTAACAAAATTACCTTCACTCTTCTTTCCCTGCTCCCTCCCTGCCCATGCTAAAAATGTTTGTTATGCACCCTTCTTTTCTATTAAACTAAAAGTGATACAGTTTACTAGGGATGTCTTTGGGAACTTCTAATGTTAGCTGCACTTTAATGATAATACAGAAGTGACAGTTGCCTAATAACGCATAACTATAACTTACAGAAACATGGTTCAACAAAGAGATCCAATACTAGTTTAGCGATTATATAGAGACATATGACCTACTCAAATTGAAAGTGGGTGGTGAATAACTGCAGCAATATAGGTCAATCTCAAGCTCGAGATATTAATTCACTTTGAACATAACAGATTGCGATCAGGTTATTCTGTTAGAAAAAGTTTGATGTGTTGTTTTAGAGAGACTGAGGATCGGGTGAAATGGTGGTGGAGCTGTAGTCATCGCAGTGGCTCGATGTTCTGCAGACTATGGCAGTAACTTGACATAATCTGACATAATAGGCCCTACTAGAATATTATAGAACGGTAGACCAGAATTGAATATGCCTAAGAGTCCATATTCGTCACCTTCTAAGGTCAATAATAAATCAAACAATAGGGTATTATTTAATTTTTAAGAAAAAAAAACTGAAAGCAGAAAAACATTTGCTAAACTTCTTCTTCTCAGCAGCTGTACAAACGCATTTTCAAAGACACTGAAGGGTGTTATAAGAAAAAATCAAGAACGGGTAATACAACATATTTTCCAAGATTTAAAAAAGAGGGATGTTAAAATTGCCTGTTTTCTCCAGGACACTGCTTTAAAAGAATCTGACATTGAGAATTCTTACATTTCAAAAATGACTAGTCTGGATGTGTTATCTATCCTCTCAAGTCTGAATTATTAAGACATCTTCAAAGTCTGTAAAATACGCACACCTTTAGAAAGAGAAAATGTAAGGAAATTCATAAGAACTCATGTATTGGGAATCGACCAATGAAGATTTCTTGAGTCACTCACTCAGGCCCGTAGCGTGGGGGCTGTCTCTTATACACACTAGATGTGTATAAGAGACAGGTACTACTCCCTATTTTAGATATATTTCCAATTTTCTCCAGAATATCGGAGATAAGGGTCCACTTTCCACTGAAACGAACCTTCCACAAATTAAGTCACGCTACGTGCCTGTCACTATACACCAAAAACCAAACCAGACTGTAGATTTTGACCTCAGATATTGTGGTAAAATCTCAGACGACAAATGAACGGAGAAAATAGGTCTGCTACATCATCATTTCTACTCTATCTTCATCATTGAAAGAGACAATTACGATATTCCAGACTCAAGTGGCATTGACAGACATGTTATCTTATTCCTGTATTTAAAAAGGGCAAATGGTGTGATAATCATTCTGACGTGAGTAATGGCGAATACGTAACACATTCTAACAAGCGAATATAATGAAGCACGCCAAATTACTTGATATATTACACCCAAGGCAACATAGCTTTAAAAATCACAAGAGCTGTCAAATTTAACTTTAAAAAACCTGCTGATGATGTAACTTGCAACATAAAGATAGTCACAACATGTTTTCTAACGCTTTCGACAGTGTTAAGAACTAAAGATTGATGTCTAAGCTTTGCTGGAACGGCATCGTGTCAGTCAAGTTAAATGGATTAATAGTTTAACGTCATTTTAATAATTATAATTAGGATCTGTGATACATTTTACTCTTTTTATTATTGACATTTGTGCCAACTTCTATGCAACTGTAAGGATTTTAAAAAAAACTAATCGTAGCGTACTTTAACTCATACTTCCGATGGAAAAGAACATTCTGAAAATAAAAAATCTCAACCATCTGCAGAAAGTATGATAGATAAAGGTTCATCTAGTGTCCTTAAAATTACAAGAAAAAAAAAACCAAAATTAATAAATCATTGCTGAATGGGAATACTATAAAGAAGAGTGTTGAAAGTATAAAGTCGCATTTGATCCACAGTGGAATATCCGTGACATTTCATGTAATTTAAAACTAACGACAACATAGCAAATGGCATATTTAAGACAAAACATCAATGTTTGAAACATCTGAGTAAATATCACTTCTTTGGATTTATTATAATGGGGTGGGTACTTCTGGTCGTCATTTAGCAGTACACCCGGAGACAATCCCCTGCTCTTGTCAAAAGAGTATTGCATTCTTTAACTTGCTCATGGGCCACATTGCAAAGGGACCAACAGCTTAAACGTCGCTACCGAAAGATGGTCGCTTTTTTACACATCAGTACTTCAGCTCTCCAGCTGAAACATCAGAAGATCGGAAGATTGAACCACGTCCACAGTTTAGCGCACACAGAGTATCTACCACCAATTTAGCCGACTGAGCCAGACTGCCCTCTAGTACTTAGTGTGACTATTTTTAAACAAAACGTAGGTTTTGTGTCTAGCATAGTATTGGAAATAAAAATTCCAAGCAGTATTATGTAGGCCTAGGTGAATAAATAAATAAATAAAAATATGAGTCTTACTATCGATTTGTTTAATACATGTATCTAATAAGAAAGGAGGTAGCACGGTAAATGGTGTTTTCAGAATAGAAATGCACCATTCTTCTAGTGAGAGGACATTTGAAAGATGCACAAAACAGAATAAAATTGATATTTGTAATATACAGATTTGTTAAAATTTTTGTT